ATAAAGAGCACACTTTTTCTTCAATTAATCAAAAACAACATAGCATTGTCCGTCTTGAATGGTTTAAGTAAACAGTCAATCCCATGTATAATCTGACATAAGTATACCAAAATACTGGGAGAATTGATAAATGATGGCGGTTTTTCTATTTTAAATACCTTTAAATTAGCGGCTTTCATTTTATTTATTTAAAATAGGAGCGTTTTTGATTCCATACTTCTTGATGTTGATATTTGGAGCGCTACCAACCTTGTACATGGAACTGCTGCTCGGACAACGCATGGGCAAAGGTGCAATCGGAATCTGGGATATGTGCCCTATCTTCAGAGGTACACATGTAAAGTTTTAAATTCACTATTTTAGATAATATCCTAAAGTTCGTTTGTAGTAGAGTCTAACATAAGATGTCACCTTAGGAAAGCATTGCTACAAATGTGTTAATCTATTAAAAATATTTTATAGGCTTTTGTAAGCATGTAAGACTCTTAATATGATCCCTCGATTAGACTGTGTCCATAATCACTGGTAAACTTATTCACCAAAGGTTCATGCTACTTTTTACTAGAATAACATGTTTTTACATGAATCATACTTAACGTAATCCTGTATGTAACTATTAGATAAAGTCATTCCATCGACGATATGGTAAGTGAAGGCTTCGTTTCGCAAAACGATTAACTTCACCATTTATCCAAAGCGAGATTTTCTCATCAAGAATGAAATGAAGCACTATGAATTTGTAGTTTTTCTTGCATGATAATTGTATAGGAAATGTACTGATAAAAATTTCTTGTGCATCCTACTAAAGCAATTCCTGTCATGTAGCATCTTTTCATGTAGTATTAACTTCTGTTAGTAGAGAAGTTAAGTGATCTCTCAAGTAGCGTTGTCAATTGCAGTGGTAAACACACGTTCGCTTAATGTGAATTGAGCATTTTCCAATGAGCAAGTGTGTATTTGCAATTGACGATCCTACTTAACTTAGTTGCGAGTAGTTTTCGAGTCTACCATAAATTCTTGAATAAAAATGTAGCCATTCATCGTTGGAACGAACCTAATTGATTTTGAAATAATCTCGATTATCAGTCCTCAAATCGCCTAAAGTGACAAAGTTCCTATTCCTTTCCAAAAGTTAGTAATGGTCTTGAAAACTTGTTACTTAGAGAATATAGCATATGATGTTAATCGTCAGAGCAGGAAATAATTCTTAAGACGAGTCAATACATTTTGCGGAATTATCCTAAAAATGTGCATTTTAATGGTTCATAGAGAAATATGATTAGTTTCAGTTACTGGTCAATCCAATATCATATGTGTTTGTATGTTAATGTGCGTTAATGTGCATTTATGCATACATACAAGCATGAAACAAGCAGCTATAACCCAAAGCAATTAGTACAATGCATAATATATATTCTCTGTTATTAATCTTGCGTTATGACTGTGTGTGTGTACGCGTGGAAGAGAGAGAGGGTGAACTAAGACGTCTTGAAAGTGTGATTAATATTGAAATAAAATCAACAAAGACGGGTTGATTAATAAGTGAACTCGATAATTTTTAAGAGTTTGCAAAGTCCAAGGAGCTTAAGTCTCCAAATGACAGTATCCGGGCAGCCGTACCGGCGGTAAATAGGCAATCTTTTGGTTTTGGCAGCCGCCTGATTTGCCAATTTGCGTTCCCACTTCCCATTTTTCACATTCTTGTATAGGCATCGGTCTGGCCCAGGTTACTATGGCCTTCCTGGTTGCCCTCTTCTATAATACCATCATAGCTTGGTCGTTCTACTTCTTCTTCGCCTCAATTACAACTCGGTTGCCGTGGCTACACTGCAATCCGTTTGCTGGCAGCTCGCCTGAATGTCGAGACTCTGCCGGTATCGCCCTCGATCGAACGGACGCGTCCAACGTCAGTTTGTCGTCAACGGAGTACTTCGAGTAAGCAAAGTTTGCTTGAGTCAAAGAGGTACAGATAGTATAAATTACAATATAATTGCTTTAAAAATACCTTTAAATCCAGGTTACACTGCAGTTTTGATTATTTTCACATCTCATCGGCACCCGCAACGGGACTCGAGCTTAGGTTGTGATAGATTAGCTACAGATTG